CATAAATTAGATTAATGGGCACAAATGTTCATAACTAGTAAGAATACAGTCATGATTCCTATATATGGAACCTGGATATAACGGAACTGTGATATAAAACATAATTTGGGTTCATGACATAAACATGGACCCGGATGGCCATCGGACAATCCTCCAAAAGATCCGGAACATCCGTAAAGGTGTTCAATCTATAAAACTGATCCTAGAGCCCCACGTTTTTTTTTTCAAAAACACGTGGAAGTGTCATATATAAATTAATTAAGGGTCATGACATAAACATGTACCTAGAAGACCATGGGACCGTCCTCTGGAAGATCTAGAACATCCTTGAAAATGGTCAATCCATGAAACTGATCCTAGAAATCCGTGGTTTTTTTTTTCGAAAGCATTAGGAACTGTGATATAAGAAAGAATTTGGGGTCATAACATAAACATGGACTCGAATGGCCACGGGGCCGTCCTCTGGTAGGTCCGGAACATCCGGAAAAGAGGTCAACCAATGAAACTGATGCTAGAGCTCCGCAGTTTTTTCAAAACCATTAGGAACTGTGATATAAGAATTTTGGGTCCTGCATGGCCATGGGATCGTTGTCTGGAAGATCCCGAACATCCGTAAAAGTGTCAATCCATAAAACTGATTCATTAGTTCCACGGTTTTTTCCGAAAACACGTGGAACTGTGATAGAAGAATTAATTTGGGGTCGTAACATAAACAGGAGCCCGGATGACCATGAAACCGTCTTGCGGAAGATCCGTAAAAGTGATGCATCGATGATACTGATTCTAGAACTTCGTGGTTTTCTCGAGAACCTTTCGAGCTGTGAAGTTTTCAACGTATGTTTCATGTATGAAACACTTTTACGGATGTTCCGGATCTTCAGAATGACGGTCCAATGGCCATCCAGGTTCATGTTTATGTCACGACCCCAAATTTATTCTTATAACACAGTTGTTTGTAATAAACTGCGGAGCTCTAGCATTAATTTCATGGATTTACCACTTTTAAGGATGTTCCAGATCTTCCAGAGGATGGTCTCATGCCCATCAATGTTTACGTAGCGACCTTTCTTATATCACAGTTCCAAGGTATTTAAAAAAACTGCTGAGCTCTAGAATCAGTTTCATGGATGGATCAATTTTACCGATGCTCCGAATCCTTCGAAGGACGGTTTCATAACCATCCGGGTTTATGTTTATGTCACGACCCCAAATTCTTTCTTATATAACAGTTCCACGTGTTTTCGAAAAAAAAAAACTGCGGAGCTCAAGGATCAGTTTCATGGATGGACCACTTTTACAGATGTTTCGGATTTTCTGGAGGATGGTCCTATGGCCATCTGGGTCCGTGTTTATGTCATGAACCCAAATTCTTTCTTATATCACAGTTACTAATGTTATTGGAAAAACCCTGGAGTTCTAGGATCAGTTTCATCGATGGACCACTTTTAAGGATCTTTCGGATCTTCCTGTTTATTTCACGACCCTATATTATTTCTTATATCACAGTTACTAGTGTTTACGAAAAAAAAAACGTGGAGCTTTAGAATCAGTTTCATGGATGAATCACTTTTACGGATGTTCCGGAAAACTCCAAACCCAAACTCTTTCTTATATCACAGTTCCAAGTGTTTTAGAAAAAAACCGCGGAGCTCTAGGATCAGTTTCATGGATTGACTACTTTGACAGATTTTTTCGGATCTTCCTGAGCACGCTTCCATGGCCATCCGGGTGCGTGTTTATGTCATGATCCCATTTTTTTCTTAGATTACAGTTCCTAATCTAGGGTAATTCAAACAGTTAGTTGTGCATTGCCCAAAATCTCCATACAACCAGTTGAACAACCAAAACAGTTCCTAATGTTTTCGAAAAAACCGCGGAGCTCTATGATTAGTTTCGTGGATTGATCAATTTTACGGATGTTCCGAATCTTCCGGAGGACCGTTTCGTTGTCTATATGATCTATATATAGGAACCTTGACTGTATTCTGGCTAATTATGAACATTTGTGCCCATTAATCTAATTAATGGATCTTAGGCCACTTGCAAAACCCATAAACACTCCTTTTTAAAAAAAACGTGTAACGATTCTTTTCGCTTTTGAATGAAGTAGACGACCCTATTTTAAATTTTTTTTCACAATTAAAATAATCTACAGACCCTAGAAATTCTAGAGGTACCACAATTTTTGAAATTCATTAAGAAATGGCTAAGTTATGCTATTGCAAACTTGCCGTTACACGTTTTTCGGAGGCATCGTATTCGGAGTGTTAATAAACATTTTCCAATGAATAAGATAGCTGGAAACGACAGTTTTTCATAAATTACTTTACGCTAGATTTCAATACCACCTTGCGTATTCTTGTTCAACTTTAAGAAAAGCATCATCTAACTGCTTGGCTCCCAATGACAGTTCGTGACAGCTTGATTCTGGCTGCTTTTGACGTTCATATTTTTAGAGTCTGCTTCTCCCTTCCAGCCAGATCTGCATTAAACATGAAACCGAAATTGAAAGTTTTATCAATTTTAGTGCACTGGATCGCACCGAGAGGGACGATTCTATCTACGATGCAAAAAAGATTGTGTTTTGCTGTGGCTAGCTGCGCGCACGCTGAGTAGATAGAAAGAAGATTGATGACGATTCTGAAGATTTCCTGCAAAAAATTGATGAGCGATGCAAGTAGATGCGACAAATAAAAGAAGATTGTTCGAAGATTGATTCGCTAGTGTGAGATTTGTTGACCATCTAAACTTGAGATTTAGATGTGTCGCCCCCCTCGGATCGCACTGTATTACATTAGTAGAAAAACCCATCTTAGTGTCCTCGGTGTATGGAGTGAGCTGTCAATATATTGGTTATGTGTCAAAAAGCGAAGTGATTATTTTGCTTTAAATTTCGATTATAAATCGAGATAGTCTATGGGATCGAAAAAATATCATTGTACACAGAAAACGAAGCATGATATGATAACCGATTAATTTTTCAAAATTAAACGACTCAATTCCCAGAATTACGTTTTTTTTTTTTAAAGTGAAATCCTCTAAGTTTCAGGATTTTCTAAATTAACGAATCATGGCAAATGTTCGTAGGCCCAACGCTGCTACTAGGCTGAACGTGAGAGATTGAACTTAAAAATGAGTGATTCGATTTTGTCTTGGTCTAAACTTGCCAAGCTTCTCTGTAGATAAATTAAAGTGGGGATTGTTAGGAGTTCTGAGGGAACTTGCGAGTTGTGACCTATCACAATCACGATCGTCAAACAGCTGATGATAGTAACGCTTTATACATTTCTATCAATGTGCTCGTCGAAGCTCTCTCCATGACCATCTATCAAGTTGACGAAATAAGTAAAAAGCAACTGGTGAATGTCGTCTTCGGTTGTGATCCATCGCCGATCTGGTCATTCCTGACAATCACGGTACTCATCTGTGCTTGTTTTGAAGCAGTTGCTGCTTTGCTTGCATATGTGAGTGTGTTGGTGAGTGAGCCCAGCAGCTACCATTTAATTTTGCCTGTTTGTTTGTAACTCACACAGTCCTGCTGAGACGAACTTGGAATGCATAGGCGAGTGTAACGTTTTGCTTGTTAGCAGCGACCATTACTGGTGATTGTTGTTTGCCATGGCTCTACCTCTCACTGCGTGACAAAACGTTCTGTCAGCGATAGTCGGTTGATGCGAAGACGACTGTCATGTGAGTGTCATGATATTTTGCATCACTGCATAATTCCAAGGGGATTGCATTTCGAAGGAAACCTAATTTCATGGAATTTGTTAAGAGCATTGCAAGCATTTAGGAGGAGAATCAAAATGCAATTCAGAGCAGAATTCGAACCATATGCTGTGGATGAATTGAAATGAATTCAGAGGAGATATGTAAGGGAAGTCCGAGAAGAATACAAAGGGTATTCAATTCTGAGAGTAATTCTGAGAACATCTTTGGCGTGATAATTTCAAGACAATTTTGGGAAGATTTTGTAAGGATTTTTGGAAACATGACTGCTGAGATGAACTCCCAATTACTTATTTTTTTATAGATAATCTTTTGATTAGCTACCACATTGCAGCTTGAAAGGCAACAGTTTGTATTTTAGGTTTCCAAAATAAGCGTGTAAATATTGGTATCTGGTTTGAAATTGTACGATTGTCAAGGGGTATTCAACTCTGCACACCCTAATGTGTGCCACGAGATTTAGCTGTGCCGAACGTGCTACCAATCATGAGTTTGGCAACCCTGAAGTTATACTTGTGTGATTGTGTTTTCATTTTAAATTTCTTTTATGGATTCTGGCAAACATTAAGCTTTATTCTCATTTGAACGTGAGCGAAGCGGAACTGGAAGAGTTGATTACCCCTTGGCGATTGTATAAGTTTAAGGATAAATTTGACAGCCTCCAAAAATGGTCGTTATAAAGGTTAGTTCAGCTCCCCAGATTTATTCCCTGACGAATCAGCCATTATGGCTCATAATGGCTGATTTTTCAAGAGTTAAGAGAAGATCCATTAAGAAATAAGATGACCCAGGAATGTCAAAAGAAAATATAGGGAACTTTCATTCATTTGATAGTTAAGAAAACTGATTATCAGTTCAGAGTGCTTCTATAGTAATTTCTGTTGATTTCTGCATATGAGACCTTTCCGACATTTGTTATGCCGCGGATACACTTTGTATGACAAACTATGAACATGAGTATTATTTGCATAATAAATTATGAGCACATCCATGGTCACACTTGTATAGTTGTTGTATAGTGTTCATAATTATTATACAAATAATGCTCATGCTCATAGTTTATCATCCAAGTGTATCCGCGGCATTAGAGAAACTGGGAGGCCTTCCATGAAAAATTAGTTTAGGATCCTCAAGAATTACGCCCAAGTAGAATTTGTTTAGTTATTGTCAAGAAACAACTGACCCAATCACGTCTGTTTACTTCCTTTACTTCTACTGCCCCCTACAACAATTCCTAATAACTTTTCCACCCGTTTCCCCATTGGCCATAGGTTCATACACCGAGAGTTCCTCCGAGGAGGACGATCTGTCGCCGCGGGACAAGGTGCAACAGAACTCCAAGGCGTTCGCCGATTTCTGCGTCCGGAACATCAAGCAGCACTCGTTCGGCAGGCATGAGATCGAAATTGCCGAACAGGAGATGCCCGGCATTATGGCCCTGCGGAAGCAGGCCCTCGAGGACAAACCCCTAAAGGGGGCGAACATTGTCGGTTGCACACACATCAATGCCCAGACGGCCGTCCTGATCGAGACGCTCATTAGCCTCGGGGCCAACGTCAGATGGGCTGCCTGCAATATCTACTCGACACAGGTAATTTTTGTTTTTTTCGCAACCCCGCGACTCGGCTTGCTGCAAGAGCAAACATTCAGCGAATGGTCGCCGCCGTCGTCGTCTTATCAGATATGATAACGGGGTTTGTATGCTTTTGTTGGAGAAGCTGTGATGAGTGTTGTTTCATGTTCGTACGTCAAGTGGTCCCATTCTCGAAAAATTGAGGGCAATTCAAACCGCATTGATTAGAATGTCTATGATGAATTGCTCGGGGCAATTATTTATCAGCTTGTCCTTTCTGTTTGCTGTATTGTACTTTTCCATTTAGAATGAAGTGGCCGCTGCCCTGGCGGAAAGTGGCGTCCCGATCTTCGCCTGGCGTGGTGAGATCGAGGAAGATTTCTGGTGGTGCATCGACAAATGTGTTCACGCAGAGAACTGGCAACCGAACATGATCCTGGACGATGGTGGCGATGCCACGCATCTGATGCTGAAGAAGTACCCGGTCATGTTCAAGATGATCAAGGGAATCGTGGACGAAAGCGTTACCGGTGTGCATCGCTTGTACCAGCTGTCCAAGACGAGCAAGCTGACGGTGCCGGCCATGAATGTAAAAGATGCCATCACCAAGACCAAGTTTGATAGTTTGTACAGCTGCAAAGAGTCGGTGATTGATAGGTACTAGTTGATGGATTATTTTGGATTGAAGCATTGATTGATGATTATTTGATTGTTGCAGTTTGAAGCGTGCCACGGATATTATGATTGGTGGTAAGCAGGTCGTCCTGTGCGGGTATGGTGAGGTTGGCAAAGGTTGTGCTCAAGCCCTGAAGGCGCTCGGTTGTATCGTGTACGTAACGGAGATCGATCCGATCTGTGCCCTGCAGGCTTGCATGGATGGGTTCCGTGTGGTCAAGCTGAACGAGGTGATAAGGACGGTTGACGTCGTGATCACGTGCACCGGCAACAAGAACGTGGTGACCCGTGAGCACATGGACAAGATGAAGAACGGTTGCATCGTGTGCAACATGGGCCATTCCAACACGGAGATCGACGTCAACAGTCTGCGAACCTCGGAACTGCAGTGGGAGAAGATGCGTTCCCAGGTGGATCACATCATTTGGCCTGGCCCCGATGGGAAACGTATCATCCTGCTAGCCGAGGGACGGCTGGTGAACCTGTCTTGCTCAAGCGTGTCATCGTTCGTTGCGTCGATCACGGCCGCTACCCAGGCACTGGCACTAATTGAACTGTTCAACGCACCGCCCGGACGGTACAAGGCGGACGTGTATCTGCTGCCGAAGAAGATGGGTAAGATGTTCTGGCGATGTTGTAGCTATTTTACTAATCAAAGTTGTACGATTCCATTGTGTGAACCGGAAGCCGTTAGCCCCATCATAAACAGCCTTATCGTTTTGAAGGTTGTAATTGGGTGATGAAGTGTTATATGCTGGTTATATAGATTTATACTATCGGAAAATTATTTAAAATCTATATGACAAAATGCATGGAACCCGTTACTGATCTTAATCACTAGCTTGATTTTGATGTTTGTGCTAGAGAAGTTTGCTTCTACTCAGACCAACGACATCCATCGAAAGTTTTGTTTTTGCTCTGATGGTTTGAAGGGACTATCAGGTTGTTAATTATGTATGCGAAAACACCATTTCGTTATACTACTGATCTAATGCAACCTGGAGTTTTCTGAATGTCAGCTAGTGAAGTTCCCAAGCAAACGAATTTACTTTATATGATCAGAATATCGGCAATTTCTAACCCTGTCCATTTCACAATCCAACAGACGAGTACGTTGCCAGTTTACACCTGCCCACGCTGGATGCCCATCTGACGGAATTGACCGATGACCAGGCTCGCTACATGGGCCTCAACAAAGCCGGCCCGTTCAAACCAAACTACTACAGGTATTAGTATTGTGCGTATTAAAACAAAATAAACTATTGTAACGCATTTTTCGGACGAAAAAAAGTTGAAAAAAAAAGTATTCAGTTCGAGAACAATAGACCCGATCGGTAAGCATTTTGTTTCCGAACGGAAAGCAAAGCCGGGAAAAAATCAATGATTTGAAAAGAAGAAAAACAAAACAAAAAATTAAAAAAAAAATATAAATTGGACAAGATACTTCTGAACACGGTAGTTTAGTAGGACATTTTTAGAAATGTAGATTAGTATCAAAACGAGAATGAGTACGGTAAACTCGCAGCAGAATTTAAAGGAAAATGAAACGAAACTCTTCCGCTTCCACTATGATGCAAATATAGGAAAACGAAACAAGCTGACTTATACACTGTTAAATCCCGCAAGATGAAAATTATGTATTGAGAATAGAGGGAAACCAAAAATATGAAGAAGCACATATTGCCAACGGGAAGGAAAAAAAAATAAAAGAATATGTCGGTCGAAAACAACCGACATCTATTTTTGGAATGGGCGTTATCAGCGATGCTCTTATTTGATATGTCAATTATGGCGATAAGTTACTGATTCGTTTTGTCTACGGCTTAACTGAATACAAGAATAATTGAATAAGCAGCGGAAATTGTCCATGGGTTATCATTTTCGGTCTATATCAGAGAGGAACTCGGCGACGTCGTCCAATGCGCGCGTATCACTATATTGAAGTAAAGTCAAATAGCGAATTCTGATATCGGGCACTTGCTTTGCATTATTATCGATAAACTTATGGAATCACGCAAAGTATCACCTTACTGCTAGGGCTACCTATCTTTGTTTGTAGAAACATTTCCAAGGCATTTAATTATAGGGCAGCAGAAGATAAAAGGCAAACTAGCAAACGGATGCATCGTTGTTCGTTTAACCGAAGCACCTGTTTCCAATTTTACGGTACAGTAAAGAATAGCGATTGTTTCTCTTTTCACCGCACGCATTACACACACATTTGCAGCAGTAGCCGTGTATTATTATTATTATTACAACCTATTATTATCTATTTTATTATTATTATCGATAAACTACAGTCGAGCGATAATAGTTGCAGAGAAGTTAAGAATATAACACCCATTTTTAAGGCGCGACGTGTTCAGTTTTATTGTTGGTGGTAATTTCACAACTTCCGTCTTAATTTGAACTGAATTGATAATCATAGATAATTAAATGACTATTCACGTACACAATCAAATAGATGTTAAGTAAACTGTTCTGTTTTTTAAGATCGTCAAATTTTCAACAGCTTCAAAAGCTCGTTGACAAAGTGGTTGATATACCAATCCTAGAATATAGAGCACATTGTTGACAAATGAAAAAAATACTTACTTATCATTACAACGGTAATGATATAAATTTAATGAACAATATGTTTGTTTGTTTTGTTTCAGGGTCTGAATGGCTGCCGATACGTTACGGATTTTGAACTAAGAAAGAATATTATCTGGATGGCAAATAAGCACTAACAGAATGCTGCAACACCGCACTAGATTGAATGTGGGGCGATACAGACAGGCGCGGAACAGACAAAACTCGGTTTTCCGAAGGAAGAAGCGTCAGCAGGAAGACCGGGATCGCGAGGCGATGGAAAATCTGTACCGCGTAAACGACACACGGAAGTTCTACGAGAAGCTAAGAAGCAAGGATATGGACGGTAACTTTCTGGAAGCAGTACTATGACCAGCACCTCAACGGTGAAGCAGCAGAAAACGAAGGTGGCACGGCAACATACCTAGGAGCACGCGCAGAAGACGACAGGCTACCGGCCTCTGATCTTCAAGAAATTGAGGAGGAGATCGATCGGCTGAAGAACAACAAAGCAACTGGTGTAGATTAACTACCAAGTGAGCTATTAAAATACGGTGGTGAAGCACTGGCTACAGCGCTGCACTGGGTAATTGCCAAGATTTGGGAGCAGGAGATATTACCGGAGGAGTCGTATGCCCAATCTACAAAAAGGGCGACAAGTTGGATTGCTGCAACTACCGCGCGATCACACTGCTGAGCGCCGCCCACAAGGTACTCTCCCAAATTCTATGCCGCCACCTGTCACCATTTGCAAGAGAGTTCGTGGGGCAATACCAGGCGGGATTTATGGGTGCCCGCGCTACCACGGACCGAGTTTTCGCGATTCGGCAGGCCCTGCAGAAATGCCGCGAATACAACGTGTCTACACATCGTTTGTTCATCGTTTTCAAATCCGCATACGAAACAGTCGATCGAGATCAGCTATGGCAGATTATGCACGAGTACGGATTTCCGGATAAACTGACGCGACTGGTCAAGGCGACGATGGATCGAGTGATGTGCGTTGTTCGAGTATCGGGGACACTCTCGAGTCCCTTTGAATCTCGAAGGGGGTTGCGGCAAGGTGATGGACTTTCGTGTCTGCTATTCAACATCGCGTTAGAAGGTGTGATGAGAAGAGCAGGGATAGACACGATCTTCAGGAAGTCCATCCAGCTTCTTGGCTTCGCCGATGACATCGATATCATGGCACGGAACTTTGAGACGATGGCGGAAACGTACATCAGACTGAAGACTGAAACTAGGCGGATTGGGCTTGCCATCAACGCATCAAAGAAAAAAATACATGAAAGGAAGAGGTTCTAGGGAAGACAATGGTAGCCTCCCACCCCCAGTTCAGATTGATGGTGACGAAATCGAGGTGGTCGATGAGTTCGTGTATTTGGACTCACTGCTGACCGCCGAAAATGATACCAGCAGAGAAATTCAAAGACGCATTATGGCAGGGAATCGTGCCTACTTTGGACTCCGGACGACGCTCCGGTCGAATAAAATTCGCCGCTGCACGAAGTTGACTGTCCTCTACGTCCACGAGACCTGGACTATGGTCGTGGAGGACCAACGCACCCTTGGTGTTTTCGAACGGAACGAGTTGCGTACCATCTACGATGGAGTGCAGAAGGATGACGGAACGTGGAGGAGGCGAATGAACCACGAATTGCACCAGCTGCTGAGAGAGCCATCCATCGTTCACATTGCAAAAATTGGGCGACTACGGTGGGCTGGGCACGTCGTAAGAATGCCGCTCGACGACCCAGTGAAAATGGTTCTAGAAAGCGACTCAACAGGAACAAGAAGAACAGGCACGCAGCGGACAAGGTTGATCGACCAAGTAGAAAGCGACATGCAGACCCTTCGCAGACTACAAGGCTGGCGAAGGAAACCTCCAATGGACGATTTGGCGTGTTGAACACCATTCGTAACAGAGGTTAGCTACATAAATCCCCCGATAAATCCTAATATAAATAAAAAACTTCAAGTTTTGTTGAGAAGCTGAGATGGAGCTGTGAGACGAATAGCGGGCTGCGGATCATAAAGCGAACGGTAATTTTTCTTTTTCTGATCATAAGTCTTTACTGGAAACACTTATCTCAAAAATATGGAGCAAATTGTTGAGAAATCTAAGTTAATTCTTTCTTTCTTTATTCTTTATTGGAAGCAGGGGAAGGCCCATTTGAGTGGAGCTTACCTCACAGCTTTTTTAAGAACAGTAGATTTCAAATGATACAGTATTAACTTAAGACCAGCGAATCCAAACACATAAAGCAACCAACGATACAGACATATCGTTTGCTACTTCTACCACGATATACTCTCTCTGTAATATAGCTTGATAGGAGGTTTAGAAGGATTATAATATATAGCCTGTCTGCTTTTTGCAACATGGTTGATGACATTGCTTGATCGGACATGTATCATCTTCGGCGTTACATCGTGAAGCAGCTTGGTAGTTTCCTTCTACTGGTCCGAGCGAGCTATATTGGCAGTTGGTCATGATAAAAAGGGAAGAAGAATATATAATCATTGCTTTCCATTTGAGACATAGCATTATCATTCGGCTCGTTGATCGCTTGTCATTTTGAGATATTTTTGATTTCTTGCTTCAAACAAAACAGCATCTTATTCTATTTCTTACTACAACCTATAATTTACGAACTTAACACTTCACGGATCCTATTTTTTATTAATTGAACTAACAGATGAAAGTCAAAGACATGGTACCATTGTATACACGACACATACTACTAATAGGATCATTATAGCCATAATGAGTACGGGATGTCGATATACGAATAAATTGGTGAGAACGGAGGGTACGACGCCCAATATCAAAATTCAACTCACGTATCACTGCAGGACAATCTATGTGAGGTTGAACAACATCCGATATGAAAGAAGCTTTAGTGACATTCCTACGAAGCTCCAGAAGGCCAAGGTCAATTAGTTTACAACGAACTTCATATCTAGGAAGATTATATGGATCATTCCAAGGCATACGTCGAAGAGCAAAGCGAAAAAAAAACTTATGTTGGAGAGCTTCTACTTGCTGTATGCAGTTCTGATAGTAAGGAGCCCAGATCACAACTGCATTCTCCAATGTAGAAAGAAAGATTTTAATCTAAGAGAGTACCCAAATCCTTAACTGTAGATTTTCTCTTTAGTGATGTTCAGGCAATGGTGTAATCAAATGAAATGACAAAGCGTTTACATCCAAAGGAAATTACTGAGCATTTGTTGGCATTCAAACTTATACGGTGCGCAACTAACCATTTGGAAAAAAAAGGTCAAGTTCTTTCTGAAGGAAATGTGCATCTTTTTTTGCAGGTTATTATATAATAGAGTTTCAAGTCGTCGGCATACGAAAGCTTAAAACATGTGAGCACTAGGTTGACGTCATTCAGGTACAGCAAGAAAGAAAGATCCAATATGACTGCCCTGTGGAACACTAGATATATTATGGAAAGGTTCTGATATAGTATTACCGGTAAAGACAAAATGCTTGATACTACCATAGAGGTAACTCTAAGACCACTGGGTCCCGAAGAAAATCATTATTATTTTTGGCTCACTCAGTACCAGAACAACGGTCCCAAGCAGTCCCAAGCTATTTCACTCACCCCTGCATGTTCTGCATGAATCCACACACCCCTGATGTTATCTGTCAAACTTTCATAGCGAATCAAAACAAACATAGTGTAGTAATAGAATTTCAACTAGAATAGGGTACGTTAATCGTTTGCTTGGGACCAATAGGCAACTAAAGTGGTGAGCGAATTTAAAATCGTTAGTTTCGTATTGATTGTTGATACTACTACCACGATAAACTCGCTCTGTAATATACAGTGGAAGTTCGCTAATTGGGGGTTTTCTGGTTGGGGCGCTTTTTAATTGGGGGTTCGCTAATTGGGGCGCGACCCAATTAAAAAGCAGTCATCCGTCAAAATCTGATGTCAAAATCATGCTGACGTTTTGATGTCATATTTTTTGGGAGGTCTTTCAATGATTGATAAAAAATAACGAAAAACAAAATATTTTTTGTAAAAAATCAATTTAATTCATAAAACAAGCCGACCGACCGAGGATGCTCCGACACCAAACCTTTTGCCTAATATTTCGTGGGAACCGTTTCCTGCTTCAAATTCCTCGATTATTCTCACCTTCTGAGCCAAGGTAAGCGTAGTGTGCTTCCGTTTCACGACTTGCTTATTATCCACTCCGGAACTGGAAGCTGATACTCCTTCCATTGTGAAAGCTGAAAAAATTTCAGGAGGATAATTGCTACAACATTACAAACAACGTATGAATGCACAAATATTTACCAGCGCCGGAAATAACTCAACAAAATATTCAATCGATTCACTCAATTTACACTCACGCAAGACAAAAACTAAGTACATAGCTGCTCACAGCATCAGTTAAGCAGACGAAAGACTGAAAACCAAAACAAACGAGTCAAGCGCCCCCCGGTCAACTTTGACACTTGTCGACACCCCCCAATTAGCGAATGCCATTCGATAATTGGGGTGCAGTCGTGCCCCAATTAGCGAACGGCTACTGTAGCATGATCGGAGTTGAAGAAGGATAATGATATATTGCTTGCCTGCTTTGTTGCAATATACACGGTTGAGGACATAGCTTCCATCGGCACACCTTCGGCACAATCTCGTAGGCATTGGATTGTTGTAAATAAAATGGGAGCACTGCTGGACAACTGTCATTGAAGTTGTTCATAACATTACACTGTACACAAACATCATCCTCTGATCGAATGAAACCTCAGACCATTCAAAACAAATCACCGAAATCGCTTTTTCGAATGATCCCAAGTAGCCAAAAGTTCTGATAAAAGGCTATTTATGGCTTAAGCACCTTGGTTGAAGGTGGTCTATTGAATTCTAAGCAGCCTCATTTTTAAGTCGTTATAAGAACTTGAAAGTTCCGGTACCATAATTGAAGAGCATTCTAAGCAGCCTCTGGCGGAACTTGAACGGAACTTTTAGAAAATAAATTAAAAAAGGTTTTTGTCCTCTACACCAATTCTATATTTAGTTCGCACTTTTATGAAAGCTATTTCTAAAGGCAGTTATTAATGTGTATTGATTAAGCATTAGTAGTAGTAATGGAGCTGTTTGAAGAATTTAACCCAGTCCTTCCGTCCTTCTGCGTGAGAGTCTCAGCACGAACCACTACGTCATCTGAAATATATTAAAGTGAGCTGTTGTCCCGCCTATTGTTGAAGTTTTCTGAGCCAGCTGACTGACTTGAATACGAAACACAACACCTTGATGAATTTAAATTGGTGTTTGCCCGCATGGTATTCCATCACACTTGTGGCGCAGTGGTTAGCAATCGTAGATCACATGCCGAATACACGGGTTCGAATCCAGGAAATTACTTTTTAATTTATTTTTTATTTTTGGATAGAATGTTGCATAAATATAAGAATTATGATTTATTCGGGCCACTGATTATTTCATATTTACGTACATTAAATTTTGTTACAAAAAAAAAGATTTGTGCGGATTGCTTCATGTGGCTTGAAAGTTCTGTCGGAACTTTATTTGAACTTTATGGAACTTGAAAGTTCTGTCGGAACTTTATTTGAACTTTATGGAACTTGAAAGTTCTGTCGGAACTTTATTTGAACTTTTTGGAACTTGAAAGTTCTGTCAGAACTTTATTCGAACTTTATGGAACTTGAATGTTTTGTCGGAACTTTATTTGAACTTTATGGAACTTGGAAGTGTTGAATGCGGAACTTTTGGTTACTTGGGATATCTGCAACGGATGACGGTTGTTTTGAAATCCGATGATTTTCCTCTAGATAACAGGATGAAAATTGTTATGAGAAGGGATAGGGCCTTCAGTTGAAATGCGTAATGCTCTCTGCAGAATGACTGTCATACTAAATGGAAATGGATATGGTTTTGGATCAGCCCCATAACGCAAATCATTCAAAACGATGATGTAAATAATTCTATCGAACGTCATTTGCTGATCTGAGCTGACAAACGAGGTGGAAGCATAGGCATCGCTATCAGAGCTGTTACGAACAAAGGTAAAGGATGAAAACTAATGTTTGGCTAATTCGTTGTGGAGGAGGTTTTCTCCACCACGAAAGTTTTTTGTATCCATGATGGAATGGCTTATTATGGTTATTCAGTATGGAATTATACATAATCAAATTATAAATCTAATTAAAAGCACTTGCATGTCACACTATTCTTAAATGTTTGTCCTCTGAGTGCCGTATGTTTTATAGCTAATTTTCAAACGAAAATCATCCTGTATTTCGTTGACAGTCATATGGATGTTAATCATCTGACGACGAATTCAACCATAAGAAAATCATCCGAAATTCGAATGCATATTGTTAAAGGGCTCGAGCAATGCAATAATCATTCGAAGTATTGCGGATGTTTTGGTTCAGTGTACCTCAAACGTTCGAACCTTATTTCTCCATGCTGCATTCTCTCGTTGTGTTAATAGTCAGTCCTCCTAATAGAGCTTGCTGACGTTTATCGTACACACACTAGGTAGCGTATACGTATACGAGAAATGTTTTCATCGGGAAAAAATCTTTCAGAGCTAAAAATTTTCCCGATGAAAACAAATTACTAACACAATCATACTTTAGCAATCTCTATGGTTGATCGCTTCCTTGACCGGAACACTGGGAAAAAGAGCTCTGACGTCGAAAGACTACAATCTCGTCCTCGTTGATGTCTCCTGCATATATGTATATGTAAGACAAACCTAGAGAACATTAGCAACTAGATTTATAGAACATAAAGCCATAGAGGTAACTCTAAGACCACTGGGTCCCGAAGAAAATCATTATTATTTTTGGCTCACTCAGTACCAGAACAACGGTCCCAAGCAGTCCCAAGCTATTTCACTCACCCCTGCATGTTCTGCATGAATCCACACACCCCTGATGTTATCTGTCAAACTTTCATAGCGAATCAAAACAAACATAGTGTAGTAATAGAATTTCAACTAGAATAGGGTACGTTAATCGTTTGCTTGGGACCAATAGGCTACTAAAGTGGTGAGCCAATTTAAAATCGTTAGTTTCGTATTGATTGTTGATAAAGCGGAGGTTAATAAGGCTTAAAAAGCAAGAAGTAAAAGACCTAATATAAAATTTCAAATCATGGGATTAATATCAGATGCTTACTTTTTAGAAAGAGAGGATTAATTTTTAATCGTTCGATATGATTAAACCATAGAGGTAACTCTAAGACCACTGGGTCCCGAAGAAAATCATTATTATTTTTGGCTCACTCAGTACCAGAACAACGATCCCAAGCAGTCCCAAGCTATTTCACTCACCCCTGCATGTTCTGCATGAATCCACACACCCCTGATGTTATCTGTCAAACTTTCATAGCGAATCAAAACAAACATAGTGTAGTAATAGAATTTCAATTAGAATAGGGTACGTTAACCGTTTGCTTGGGACCAATAGGCTACTAAAGTGGTGAGCCAATTTAAAATCGTTAGTTTCGTATTGATTGTTGATTAAACTGAGTTTAATGTCAAATTGATTAAATTTCAAGCAAAATGGAAATAGTTCAATTTATCAGTGTAGGGCCATAGAGGTAACTCTAAGACTAGTAGGTCCCGAAGAAACGTGCTCAACTTTTTGGCTCAGCTCTGGTACTATCTTCGGTCCCAAGCTAATCGATTCACCCCTCGAAACATAGGAAAATCCAATAACCCCTCATTTTATTTGTCAAACTTTCATAGCGAATCAAAACAAACATTGTGTAGTACTAGAATATTGAATAGAATGGGGTACGTTAATCGATTGGCTTGGAACCAATAGGCTAGTCAAGTAGTGAGCCAATTTTAAATCGTTAGTTTCGTATTGATTGTTGGCTGAGTTCGGAAAATTATTCGAAAATTATTCTCAAATCTCATTAATTGAGCCTCCCTGCGAGAATAAACTCGCGTGCGAATGCGACAAACAAAATACACGCTTGAGATTCTCATGCATATTCACAACGCCGAAAAATCATTCCAGCTTTAAACTCATAAAAACCACTCAAACGTGAATTGATACATGCCTATGCATGTTGTGTTAGTTTTCCAACCCCTGATGCACAAACAATAGTAATAACAATGAATAACGCCAAAATATAAAGCAATGAATTTTTGAACCTGAAAACTCATCGGTGATTTTTGCGACGTTGAATTTTTTATTGCAAGGCGAAACTCATAGGCACATAAATTCAAGCATGAGATTTGAGTTTTTGAGTTTTTCCGAACACTGATTGTTGGTAGGGCCCCGTTTAAAGAGCCGTTTAGGGACTTCCGCGGCGATGCTCTTCTTCTTCTTTTCTTTATTTAACGTCGGTCTCTGTTCCGCAATCTAGTGCCAATCACCGACGGACATCGATTGCCATCCATTGACGGCAGTCGAATGTGCAGGAAGACAGCTTCCACACCTGCGTAGGATATCGCACCCATTCAAACACACATGGGCCGGGAGCAACGTCTTTACTTCCCTTCCGAAGGAAGACGTGACCAGAGATTTTTATGCCTCAGAAAAATCCCACCGACCTCGGCTGGGATTGAACCCAAACCCATCGGGGTGTTAGAAAGCAGTCACGTTTACCACTACACCACCGGTGCCGGCGTGGCGATGCTCTAAAGCATGTATCTTTTTACTGTGTACAATCGTTTTGACAGCTCTCACAAGTCACTCATTCTCTCAGTGTTGTGCTAATCTCTTGCTCTCTCCCGATTAAATCTCGGCTACTGTAAGTACAGTTGTTGCTGCTGTGCCATATTAGCATCGGCATTCGTCTTGATTTTAATGGTGTATCAGCTGTGCAAGAGGAAGAAAGCTAGGTACTTTCCTTCTGTTCATTCTGCGTAGTGCCGGTAGTGCCTGTATTTCGCCATATATCACTCTTGTTATTGTTTTGATACGGTTGGTGGAAAATATTCCCATTGCTAATAATTGATAAGCAAAAGGCTGTGTCGCTGTGAGATATGCTGTTCGGTGCTTTCATATTCTCCATTTAATCACTCATAGTGCCTATTTTACAATGGTAAAAGTTGAACGCTAAATAAAATGTGAATTTACTCGATCCAACTAATTTAATTAATTTGCAGATCTCGAATATATACACCATGGGAGCTAGTAAGGCACACTTCCTACTATTAGGAATTCTTGTTACGTGTATGATTGCAACCCAGATAAGTGCTAAATATGAATATCAAGTAAAATACTTAGATGTTCCACTGGATCATTTCACGTACGTGAATGAGACTGTCACATTCAAAATGAGGTTAGACCATTTATTGACGACCGGGTGATCAATATCCTAAACTATCATCCGCCCCCTTTCCTTGCAGATACCTTGTCAATGATACGTACAATCCAGACGGCAAGGGCCCAATCCTATTCTACACCGGAAATGAAGGCGACATCGAGAATTTTGCTCAAAATACGGGATTTATGTGGGAAATTGCTCCCAAGCTGAAAGCATCGCTCGTATTTGCGGAGCATCGTTTTTACGGTAAAACCCTCCCCTTCGGTAACGCTTCGTACGAGTCTCCGAAGCATTTGGGTTATTTGAGCTCGGAGCAAGCTCTGGCGGATTTTGCTGAACTGCTAGCGGAAATCAATCCTTCCAATCGGTCCACCCGCGGTAGACCGGTTATAGCATTCGGTGGTTCCTACGGTGGAATGTTGGCCGCGTGGTTTCGCATGAAATACCCACATCTGGTGTCCGGTGCAATCGCTTCCTCGGCACCGATTCGCCAATTCGATACGGATTGTGGCATTTTCAACCAAATTTTGACGTCCGTTTTCAGCGTTGCCTACACCAAGGAATGTTCTCAGAATATTGCACGATCGTGGGATGTCTTGAAGAACTATTCCTCGACGGCCGATGGACTGAAGGTCTTGAAGGACAAGTTCAAGTTCTGTGGCAACATCACCAAGGCGGACGATATCACAGGAACCTTTTTCGATTATCTCGCCGATGTGTATGGAAATCTGGCCATGATCAATTATCCGTACAATTCGTCCTTCCTGGCACCGGTTCCGGCGTACCCGGTGAGAGAATTCTGTGGCCGTTTGGCTCAGAACTTTACCGGACTGGAGTTGATTGGCCGCCTCCAGGAGGCGGTGAGTATCTACTCAAACTACACCGGTCAGACTAAGTGTTTGAACATCGACAGTGCCTACGATGACAATATGGGTACTTCCGGGTGGGAGTTCCAATCGTGTACGGAGATGTGGATGCCGATGTGTTCCGAAGGTTCCGGGAAGGACATGTTCCCGAAGAAACCGTGGGACGATAAGAAGTTTTCCGACGACTGTTTCAAGAAATTTGGGGTGAGACCGAAGAAGAATGTCGCGATGACCATTTACGGGGGGCAATATCTGGAGTAAGTTGGAAACGGTAAACTGATGTGGGTGTTGTGAGTTACTGAACGATTTTTCTTTTTATTTTTAAGGGGGGCATCTAACATCGTTTTCAGCAATGGCTTGATGGATCCATGGTCTGGAGGGGGCGTTCTACGTACCAGCAACAACAATATCAAAGTTGTGCTGATACCGGAGGGTGCGCATCATGTTGACTTGCGCGCTGAGGACCCTAATGATAACGGATCGGTACTCGTAGCAAGGCAGGTTCATCTGCAGAATATCCAGATGTGGATCAAGCAGTATCGTAAGCGGATGGCCTAGACTGGAGTTGCCATCATCACGCAGGATTTGGGCGTTGGGATTTACAGTAAACACTACGTCATTTCTTTCTTAAGCTGACGGTGTCTCTGAAAGAAACTAGTATAAACAAAAATCTGTATAGTTGAAACACCCACCAAACGAAAGCTTTGGCTGGCCCTTCATATGAGGCTAGTGTCGAGAGGTTCTGGAACAAATGTATGGAATGACACCCGATAGAACGTGTTGTGTCTCAAAGCACCTAAGATTTCGTTTGGTGGGTGATTGACAGATACTGATTTTTTTTTTATAATGTTCTATTAGAGACACCGTGAATACCCTCATCTGAGATTCTCTATGAATTAATAATACACCAAATTTACTCAATTTTTTTTTTTAAGATTATTTAAGCGATGACAAATACCTTGTGTAGGAGATGTTGAATATATGGTTAGAGTAATGTCATTCTTATTGAAAGCCACTCTAAAAATCTTCACGTCGATTTACCTGACCTGCATTACACATCCTAAGGTTGTATCCAAGACATGACCGTAGATTTGACGTAGGATTACGAAAGGTAGTTTTGATGTCACAGCAAGAGTATAATATAAATTAAAATGTTTGGACGACTTTTTTATCAGTCATTTGTGGTCCTGAAAAGGACCGATTGGTTGGAAGCGTGGAAGCCAGTTTAGAACAATGCTGTGGAAATTTGTCCTCGATGTTCTTGGAGATGATAGCGGTGCGGAAATGAAATATGTATTAGGGAAAACACATCAATCACATAATCTGAGCCTACCGAACTGTACCTACGTTTATGCTTTTTGATGCAAATTTTTAACCTCTTCTATTAAGAGAATTTGGCAAGATTTTTTTGGCATAATTCTCTTAATAGGAGGGGCTTAAAATTTGCAACAAAAGGCATAAACATAGGTACGGTCTGGCATTCTCAGTACTTGGGATCAATATTCGGCGACTGTGTTAGGAAAACCACTTTTCCCATCACGGAAACGCTTCGTTTTCTAATGTCAAAATTACGCATTTTCGTGCACAAAACGCACAGAACTTTTGGTTTATTCAATAGATAAAAAAAAAAATAGATTGGAGGAATTTCTTGCTAACATTTTTCCAATCGCGAGATATTCAATCTTATAAATTCAAGTTTTTTTTTGATTTTTCTAGGGTCCTGGAGAAAACCTTACGAAGTGTTTCTGGTTATTTGACATGGTCATGTGGTATTCGGCGAGGTATTCGGTCCATGTACCGCCCTCGACACCGAGTACCCCCCACACCCGTGGATCCAGTCCGCTCCACCCAACACCACCGTTGCCTGGATACCTGGCCACTGCGGCATCCAGGGTAACGTTGAAGCCGACCACCTCGCCTCTTCTGATCGACTAATGGACAAACTGACAAGCGAAGCTCCAGGTTCAGACTTAATAAATTGGCTGTTAAAAATTACATGGGAGAACTGAAGCAAGGACTGGTTAGGCAGAAGAGACGGATAAAAAGAGAGACGCACTGATGGGAAGACCTACCTGACCACCGTTCTCAAGTGGTGTTGTCTAGGCTGAGGTCAGGTCACACTCGAATGTCGCACAACATTGCTGGGAATGGCGAATTCCATCGACGTTGCCCAATATGCCAGATCCATCAATCGGTAGAGCACTTGATATGCCACTGCCCACAATATCCAGGAGCCAGAGACCTATACGGTATCTCTTGTAACATAAAAAATGCCCTCAGCAAGGACCCCTGTCGTTCCGCTGCATTATTGGCCTTTCCCGCGAGACAGGCCTGTACAACCAGATATTGTAACATTGTTACAAAATGGTCGTAAAAAAATAGTAACATCTGTAAAATATATTCTCTTGAAGAATGTATCTTCCACTTCTCAGGCTACAAGAAAGTCAAAAGGAAGACAATTGTATACATTTGGTGATGTTTGCATTCGAGCACTTTTTTATGCATCGTTGCGCCGTGAGTGGCGAGAATTGAAAACACTCATTTGAATCTGATCGTGAAGCAAGACATACCACTCCGATTTGATCGCAGATAGTATAGCCAATGTTTTAAAAATGAAATGATGATATGCAAATTTTTCAAGTAATGGTATAAGTGAAGTCAGTAGACAGTTGTTTTGAACTACTGTTGGTATAGCAGAGCCGATGGCTATTAACTAACCCCTTTCAAACCCGAATACAAAGTGTATGAAAAAAGAATAACCAACCATGATTGTCGTGAGCAAAAGAGAAAAGTCTGATAATTGAGTTTTTAGTTCCTGCGTTAACTTAGTTTGGGTCCCCATTGATTACATTATCTAGGGGTCATATTGGGACGCGTTGGTTGTGGTACGATTGGAAATCGGAGTAGTATTTTGAAGGACTTGCCTTGAGGAGTCTCACCGGGCACGTGCAAACCTTGCCTCTTCACATGCAAGCGACTCTTTTGCTTGCTTGGCGCTTAAGTGGAGAGGTTGATACACCTAGAAAAGAACCTTTCGGCCAGTAACCCGTTACAATATAACTCCTAGGAAATCCCCACCAGTATAAAACAGCATAAAAAGACAGCATTACTTACTCCCTCTCTTTTTAGAAGTATCCCCTATGGGCATTCCTCAATTTTTCAACTAAGTGACTTGGGGAACTACCTTCAGGGGTTCCCGGAGACGAACCAGCGTTCGGTTGAAAGTCTCCTTCCCAAGTAACAATTTTGGTTTTATGAGGGTTCTGTAGATCATGATTTGGACTTGTAGAATGCTATAAAACCTCTATAAATGTTACTTGGATTAATAAAGATAACTAACTAACTAACTGAAAAGAACCGGTTTGTCGTTATAAATGAATAAGGCTGAGCTATTAGGGTGTTCAACACGGATGAGACTGAAGAGCTGTATGTTGTTTGGAACGAGGGTGACGCGCTCGCCATAGATGGTCCACAGCGGCTCACGACGAGCAACTGAATCCGATCAGCGATTGAGGATAGCCTTGATAGCTAGTTGCTTGAGGGGAGCCTTTCGTTGTGTACTGGAGAACATCATCACTCACCACACGCGGTGATTGAATGAACAGCGTTCGTTGAGACCTGATGGAATTCAATTTTGAAATCTGTGTTAGGGAAACCCGCATAAACGCGAACCATCACATGACCTTACCGATAATGGTTATAAATTGTTTATAATCCCTGCTAAACTTCAACTGAAATGGTTATGGAACCTTACATGAACGTTTGTGTGATAAAGTTTTAACCTTATGTGTTATGGTTTTTTGGAAGCGGACCTTACAAATAATGGGTTGTTAAGAACCATTACCATTCCAAATTCTTGTTTTCTCCATACATTTTCGGAAAGAGAACTATATTAGAACGTTTTTACTTATGGTTTGAGAACATTAATGGTTATGGTTATGGTAGTCAGTAAGGTCCATTAATGGTTTTGTATTATCACTCAACTTTACGTGAAATATATCGTGAATTGGTAATCAGTAATTTACAGGCAACCAATTCGCGATATATTCCACATAAAGTTGATCGATGTTACAAAACCATTCATGGACCTTACTGGTTACCATAACCATTACCATTAATGTTCTTAAACCATAAGTTAAAAGGTTTTAGTAAAGTTTTCTTTCCGAAAATGTATGGAGAAAACAAGAATTTGGAATGGTAATGGTTCTTAACAACCCATTATTTGTAAGGTCCACTTCCAAAAAACTATAATACTTAAGGTTAAAACTTTATCATTAAACGTTCATGTAAAGTTCCATAACCATTTCAGTTGAAGTTTAGCAGGGATTATAAACAATTTATAACCATTATCGGTAAGGTCAGTTTATGGTTCGCGCTTATGCGGGAAGCGCTTTTCGCAGGCAATCGGTGACCATTTTATGATCATAGCAACACTTGCAAATTCGTGCAATTTTCATTAGTGACATTTTGAAAAATGATAAACCCTTAAATATAACAGATTCGTAGAAAAATTTCCCATCGATTTGCGTATTCAGAATTAAAATACATCATCTCTGGATCAAAATCATACCACTGGCATGCCGCCACCGACTTTGGATTCTGAAATTGCACTGCCATTTTTTCCTTAAAAATATATGGCAGGGGAAGTAGCTCTAATCACAAACGAAGTGACAGACGACTTTCTCCGAAGAAATTAATTAAAATAATGTGGTTCTCTGTAATAGAATTTTAGTCCACCTTGCGCCCTTCACCGCCAGGTTCGCTAGTATTTTTGCTTTGAATTAATTCAAGTTGGTTTTGTGTGCAATGATCTGGCAACCCTCGTTCTCGCTTGCATAGACGTGGTGCTGTTTTCTCACTCATCGAAGGAAATTTTGATTAGAGTGAGAAAGTAAGGAACAATCCGTGCGGGAACCGTGTGCGTTACTGTAGGTGCGGCAGAAGGAATGTTGACAACTCTTTCGTTCTCACGGTGTTCTTACGCATGATCCAACGTTACGTCACACTAGATTATGCATAAGAACGTCGTGATAATGAAAGTGCTAACTTGTTTCCTTCTGCCTCACCACAGCACTTGCGATTCTCCGTCGGTTTCAGGTGCATAGACCTTTTTGACGTTTCATCATCTTTCTCTATCTAGCACACATGGATGAACGGACGGTTTGTTTTCCCACTAATCTGTGTGGGTAGTGAAATCCGGAACATTTTCTCACTTTTGAGCATCAACGTCAACTCGGTTTCGAATCGCATTCCCACTTGAGGTGGCACCGTTGGCAGTAATCCACTGCGCCGTGGGAAAGACCTGACTAGTACTGGAAAATTCACCGTCTAAGGAAGGTCACCATTAAAACTAAATCAACCTAATTTTCTTCTCTGTAACGTACTCCGGATCAGACTCGCTGGTGGACCGTTTTCGTGGGACGGTTTTCGACCCGAAAAGCTACAATTTGAACAGATTTTCAAAAGATTTCTGGCAGGCGTCTTGGGACGCACGATCTCCTGTCCCACCAAGGCATCCGTTAGCGTGTCCGTGTCGGAACGGATGAACTCTTCGATCGACTGCAATTCTACCATCGATTTTCGGCACTGCTTTTTTGGCTAAATTCACACGATAGTTGAAATCGAACACGGTCGACGATCCGGCGGAGGATGCTTCGTCTTCATTGTCCGAAGAAGTCAACGATTTGATACGACCGGTTTGGCTCGAAGCAATTTTTCGACGGAAGTTCCTCGTGGCAGTGGAATATAAATGCCACGCTGCTGCATCTGCTGACTAAAGTCGTCCTTGTTGTTGCACAAAGGGCACTTGAAAAAGTACCCCGCCGATTGGGCAAACTGTGCCATGCAGCTCCGATGGAACCAGACATTCTGACAGCACG